GGTTATTAAGCCCACCTCGGGCCCAGACCAAATTGGGCTTAATAAGCGACTGAGCCTATTAACCGTGGGCTTAATAGCCGGTGACTACTTTAATGACACACTTTTATATTATAGCGCACAATGGCACCGTGAAAACTCTCTTCGTACTATGCTTAATTGGTATGGCCTCTGTGTTCTTTCCTTCCAAACCCGTTTCAGACTACCAGAACTTTTTTATTTACGATCTTAACCCCGTGGAAATGTAGCTTCTCTTCCGTTCAGCTATTTGGGTGAGGTATACTTGAGTCAGTGGCTACCGCAGTTGCAAAGCAAAATTGGGACCGTGTCGAATGAAAAGATGCGGCATCATAATATCAAGAAGGAGGGTCCCCTATGGCACAAAACGGTAACTTGCGTGCATCCAGTCTTGCTTGCTGTGCACAACATTTAATGAGGTGCACACGGAGATTGGTCGTTGCGGAACATTGGAAAAGTCCGCAAAAGCCAGGCCACCATTCAATCTCTAAACAATGGGGGATAGTTATAAAATATCTCCCGTATTTGACTAAAACTCGTAAGAAAGTGATTTATGTTTGTTAGGTGTTTTGCGAATGGCACTCTGACCTTTAACCATCTCTGTAGCTCTCCTTGGAACTCGTACGGGACAATTCTAGCCTTTCTATGCAGAGGATCTTGAGGCTGGTAGACTGTACGACAAATTTTGTCTTAAGACTGTTCTGAAAATCTTTCAGATGCTTCCACGTCTCGCAAGAATACACAAATAATAAAATAGCTTTGAATATTTTCGGATGTAACTGAGTCGCCTAGACGAAATATTGCCCACATAACGACACCGAACCACAGACGAGAATAATTTCACCCCCAACCGTAGTCTTCCTTCGTCAGCCGGACTCCGGATTACACTTTAGTTTTTCATGCTCTACACTTAAATTGCTGTTTCAGAGTCCTAATCCCTTGCGAAAATCTCCACGTATATTAGCTACAAAAGGTGTCGCATAAATTTAC